GAGTGTTCATTTTAGTGAAGTAAGCAAATAATAAACAAAATGTATAAATAGAACATACAGTTTATTAAATAATGATAAGAATGGGAAAATGAAACAAAGAATGGGAAGGGGCAGAGTGACATTTCAGTGAGGGAATGAGAGAGCAAGCTGTGTGACTCCATGAAGGTAGAGTATTCCAGGCCTGGGGAACAGCAAGTGCAAAGGCCCTGAGTTAGGATCGAGCAAGGTGACCGTTATGGCTGGAGCAGAGTGAACCAAGGGGAAAATATTAATAGTATGAGTTCAGGGAGTTTGGAGGGCTGTAACATGTTGGCCTTATAGGTTGTAGTAAGGACTTTGACTTTGGCTTGGAGAGAGGTGGGAAACAATTGAAAGTTGTGGAGCAGAGGAGTGTCATGATCTCAGCCATGTTTCAGCAGAATCCTTGTGGCTGCAGCATTGAGAATAGATTGTGGGTGGGGTGGGTGAGGGCAGAAGTAGAGAGGTCAGGTAGGACAATCCAGGAAAAATGGTAACTTGGAATGGGTTGGAACAGAGGCGGTTTGGTGAATTCTGGATATACTGTAGTAGAGTAGATTTACAGAACTCTATGGTAACTGTTTCTTGGATATTGAAATGCTATTTGGTGTGATCATTCTTAACTTACAGATTGTAGGTACAAATGATGATACTTAAATTGTGTTTAAAAGTTGATTTTTATAAATTTGTCACATACTGATTATTTCTGTAGTGTTTGCAGTTTTTCTAATATAGTGTTTTTATTATGAAGTCTTTCAAGACATCTCTGTTTTTAGAAATACATCTTTGTTCTGTGTTAAATCTATAATCTTCCAGTTTATACTCAATGTACTCTTCATTTTGATCAAACTAAACAAGAAAGGACATTTTAACATACTACACTTTTAATATTTTAATTAGCTATGGTTCTTGAAAATACAGGACCTGAACTTACAGTTCTAAAAGAATCCTCCTTTTCTTGATTTTCTTCTACTGAAATGAACATGAAAATGATTTGTAGTGTTAAAGGAGCTAAGCAAGATCAATTTCATTTTATTTTATTACTTTGTAAGCTTTATATTCTTTTCTCATTATATTATCATTTTGATAATTCAAGAATATTTCTCCACACCCCACCTTATTCCAGAAAAGTTTTTAGGCAGTCCATGAAACTTACAAGATAACTTCCAAGTTTTTTTTGTAATGTTTTTTACTCTGCAGTGTGTGGCATTCCTGATTCCCACACAGATGTGTAGAATGGTTCTCATTTTGGCCCTTATCAGTTACACTACAAAATGTTTCAAAAATAGTGGACATTTCATGACCAGAATGAGGTGTGGTATCCCGAATACTTTCCCATTCCATGCTCTAAATTTCACATGTTTCATACAGAAAATGTAGAAAAGCAAGTAGAAACCATATCACCTAGAAAGATATGATATTTTAATATTTTGATACTTATCTTTATCAATTTAGAGATGGCATAGAAATTTATGGTACATATTTTGTGTGTATATATAGACAGAATATCAGTGTACAAACTTTAATAAACTTTCTTTCATTTAGCATTATACAGTGAACTTTTCCCTAGTAAAATGTGTTCTTTAACAATTTTTTCAAGCATATGAATAAATTTTTGTCATTCTGTTTTATGTCATATTTAGTTTCATCATTTAGAATATTTAAGTTCTGATATTTTATTATCAGAAAATAGTGGTTTATTAAAAACCACACTGTGGGCCGGGCACGGTGGCTCACGCCTGTAATACTAGCACTCTGGGAGGCCGAGACGGGCAGATTGTTTGAGCTCAGGAGTTTGAAACCAGCCTGAGCAAGAGCGAGACCCCGTCTCTACTAAAAATAGAAAGA